ATTTGGTCTGGGCCCGAGGTGGGCTTAATAGCCGGCGACTACTGTATTTAGGCCCGGGTTAATGCATCTTTCCTTCAGAAAATAACTCGGAATATATCAATTTTAATTTTAGTCTAACGCAAAACGGACCCCTCCAGTAGAAACATTAGATGGAATCACAACTCTCCAGCGCTGCAGAATGGTCTGTATCATCAAATCCATACATCGAAATTAAGTTAGGCCACTTTTTAACTATAAAATAAAGCAAAGCAGAAAACAGGTCAGTTAGAATAAAGTTCATGTATTTGGTGGAATTTACAAGCAGACATTGGTGTGAAAATAGGATGGCAGGTTCATCCTTACTGATCATTTCGAAAGGGCGTTGAGAGCAACACCGACTGCAGTTACGCAAAACGCACATCCAAGGAGTATGTAATTTCGAAGACCCTTGGATAAATACAAAGAAACAGACGTAAATGTATATTTATTCGAGCCATCTTGTCTCGTAGGTTGCCAATATGCCTAACACATTCTTGCTATAAGTATGTGTGCATTTTTAAATTGTTCTCTTTAGTTGTTTTTTAATGGTTAATTTATAACATTTCCATTTATAAGCAGCATGCAAAACCTATAGCAATGCGCGATAAGTACACATATGTTGAAATAATACCCGTGCAAGTTATTGGTAGAACAATTTCGACGCGAGTATGAGAACCACTGTAAACAATGGCAGCCCATGTTTCGGACATTTCGGCGGCCATTTATTGTAAAACTCTGTTAGCACCAAAACCGTATTAGTATTTTTGCGGTACGTACGCGTAGTCTTATGGGTTCGAATTCCACCGCAGCCGCCGTAGTTTTCACAATCCAGCGAGATTGAGTATGCAAATACATTAAAAACATGCACAAAACTATTTTTCATTGTGCTCCGTTTGTAGAAAATAAAATTGCCAATTTTTATCGCTTGAACAAGTTTCTTCAGTTTAATAATTTGTTAAGTATGGTGAGTACTAAACCGTTAAATAGTTATTTTACTGGCCACATATCTGTGCGTTTAATAATTTTACTTATACAACTTACAGTACAGTCGGAACTGAGTAGAAGCATTGTGAGCTCTATACAACCGCTTGGTATTGACGTTCAAATACGTAAGCTTGTTTTTGTTTAGGAATTACAAAGCTTTATTTTGTGAAGGCTAAAGACGAAAGCAAATCGACTTAATCTTATTTGGAACTAAAATATATTGTTTGGAAATATAAAATCTGAAAAGGTGACTTATTGCACTAAATGAGCGCTTAATGTAATTTATTTATACAGGTTTTGTATATCTTACTTTTACCTTTCTGATTGCATCGAAAGTCCTAGGACAAAATATTACTTTTAAGTCATTTTTGATAAGTGTGCATTCTATAACCTGTCGGATGGTTAAGGATAGGCTATACAAACCCTTTGGGCTTAAAATGCAGAGCTTGGCCCGCTTTGGTTTCCTATCTCATAGATATGGAAAGTAGCTATTTGACTGTTAAATAATACATTGCTATAACTATATGCGCAAAGTTGTTTTGCTGTAGTTTTGTGATTCAAGTTTCTTTACTTTATTGCGAATAGCTTTTTGATAATGCTTGTAGCATTATTTCCATGGTCCTTGTTACATAGGGGTCTAGAAGAATAAATAGAGCGGAAATTTAAATATCTTTTATGTTTTATCGCTCTTATTTCGCTGCTTATCCACGGCAAGGTGGCAGCCTTAAACCCCCATTACCACTGTTCGAAGTTTACCCGGTCCTGGGATAAATAATGGTTAAGGGGACTTATATAAGTTACCGTTTCCGTCGGCTTGAAATGCACTTAAAGCCGATTTCTCAATGTGACTGAACTATGTTTAGATTATGTTGTACAGTGATCACTACTAAAGCCTTATCAAATTAATCACTTATACTCTGAAATACCCCTTAGGGGCTCGGTTAACCTTCTATGCAGTTTTCCGGCTATTTTCGCTAAACGTAGTCGGTTTGCTTTCCCTTAAGGACGTTTAATCTTTAAAAATAAGCTCTGTCCTATTAAGTATCTCTTTATTAAGTCAACTACCAGTACCATGGGGGCCTCGTTGCTCAGTTAGCTGTAGAATTGGCTGTAAAAAGCCTTCCTCTTACTGGCGTAGGTTTAAATCCCACCTAGGCCACCGCGTTTTGCACAATTAAGTCGTACAAATTCTTAAAAAGTGTTAGCCCTGCCCCGCCTGCTTATTAAGTTTGCCTCGTAGTCGTCTGGTAGATTCTAGATTTATTGCGTAGCAAATCCTATTTAGGCAGTCAAATTACTGTATCCGTATTTGCAGATTCCATACACTATTGTAAGCTGGGCGAGGAAATCGATCCATTTGTGAATAAACTCACGGCTCCCTGTAGGGCCGTCGTAGCTCAGTTGGGTAGAGCGTTGGCTGTACTAAAAATATCTTTTTGCTGGCGTGGGTTTGAATCTCACTGAAGCCGTCGAGTTTATCGCAGTTGATTTAACTACACAATTAAAATCGGCCAACCCATTTAACTAGAATTTATATAAATTCTGTACTGAGACACAAACAACCGGCTGGACTCAGTGGACTCACCGTGATCTCCTTGAAGAATACCAGACCACAAATGGTGGCAATGAGTGCTGGCACCGTGGTTACGATGGGAAAAGTGATTGGTTCGCCAAGGGCTGCGTTCGCCACAAACCAGGCTGACTGCGCTGCCGCCCAAAGAATTCCACTCACGAGCGCCGGCAAGATGGCACTGGAAGCTGGAACCCAGGGCTGATTACGTTTGGCGCAGGCGTAGATGACAAAGTAGGTGGTGGAGGCGAGCCATATGCCAGCAAAATTGGCGAACACATAATCTAGCCCTAAACGATCGGAGGGGTTCGTGATTTAGCTGCCCAAAAAGCACAGGCGTGCAATGCTAATCAAAATCATGAAATATATCTTTTCGTCTCAACTCTACTACAACATCGCCAGCAAGTTATAACTCAGACCATTATGGTAATGATGTGTTTTACTCCGAAGTAAGAGAATCGTGCCGAAACACTATGCAGTTTGTATTGTTTAAATTTATTAACAGGAAAGCGTTCTGCCTGCTTTTAGGATTTTATTACAATCTAGGCAGCGTTGTCCCTCAACAGAAACGATGAGTTGTAGGAATAAGGGCGTTCCGATGTCAGCAATCAGAATCAACCATGGTTTTGTTTTCTCAGTTGGGCGGGAGTACCTGCTACTAGGTTATCTTAGCGTGCCGACGATGTAACGCGACAAAATAGGCAGTAATCAAGTTCGCATCAACCAAAACTTGCAAAAGCTAGCCTTCTATATAAGGGGAGGAGTTTGCCATATTTCAATTATCAATTCTGATTCAAAAATTCAAGAGGTTAGGCCGGACTATGCGCATTTATAATAATTTATTCGAAAGTTTTCTCGACACTTTTTATTCCCAGTTAAAAGTCTTTAAACAGGTTAATATTACTAGCATATATAATTTACTAAGAGTCTTGGCAGTAACTGCTTACCCTGTCTACTTGCGTTTGGGTATCGTCCTTGAATGTAAATTGTTGGAACGAAAGTATTTCCGAAAAACGCTCCAGCGCCGATGGACAGAAAGATGCCGCTAAAATAGTATGGTTTTCTTAGTGCATGTGATGAACGTGATGGTAACGGCTTTCGCCGTTGTTTCTTCAATGTTGGCTGGCAAAATTGTGCCACATCACCAAGTCTACGCAATTAAAACTATCGCCAAAAAAATCAAATTTTAAAGGGACCATATGAAAGGAAAGTGCGATTATCAAGGGTCAAGCCTTAAAAATAGTGAAGGCGTGGTGACGTAACTCTAAAAATTGGCTGGTTAGGACCCTAAGAACTGGCCTGTTTATCATTTATCCATCGGGCAGGGACTTTTGACGGCTTCTGGAAATTCGCATTTGCACCAGCAACTGAAGTGCTCGATGCCGTGAAACAGCAGCAAACATAGGTGTTCCGTTGACTTATTTCGAAGTTTCACCATGGAATATGGACCACGCTTACTGTCTACCTGAGCCTGGAAGGTAGAAAATGTGGGCTGTTGAGTAGGATTTCTCAGTTCTGTCAGGTCAAAGTGTTAGCCTCAATGGCTCCTTCTTAGTATGGTTCCTCATTCAGAAGATTGTTCCCAGCGTCAGAAGAGGGTTCCGAGCCGTCCCAATACTTGTATATCTGAACTAGCTTATTTTTTGACTGGCATCGATGGGTTGCTTAGCATTTGCTGTCCCTGTGACTCAGATCGCCTCTGGTGGTCATAAGTCTGCCTTGCTATTTTGCGCAAGATGCCAAGGGTAGAGATTGTGACAATTTCTGCGCAAGTCTGTCATAACAAGAATCGTGTGTCAGTTACCGTTCTGCGCCAAACACACTGCGGGCTACATAGTGAACGTCGC